GTTTATAATAGAGGAATGTTGGAGGTTAAAGGTCTAAAAGGCCAAATTCCATGCAGAAAACCAATAACATTCTGGGCTTTCTGCTTTATGTGCACACATACCGCATGCTGAGTAAAACAGGATTTTTTTAAGTATCTCAAGGTCTAGTAAGCATCCAGGCTGTAATTAATACTAATTCCACAAACATTATCGTAAAATGTCCATCATGGTTAGTCTAAGGAGCAGCAGAAGACTGCTTCTAATCAAATAAAAATGTATTTAAATTGCACATGTTGAGACGTGTTGCACAGCAAGCTGGGAATACTCACAAACAAACAAATAAAAATAATGACAAAAAAAACACAGATAAGAACCAATGTCTCAACTACCCAAATCCAAAACTATGCCAAGCCTTCTTATTCCATTTGTTTTGTATATGATAAAAATTATATATCTGCTTTGATAACCCATCAGTTCAAGCTATCTTACAATTTTTCCTGTTCATACAGCTCTGCATATCAGAAGTTCTGGCTAAGCATCATGTTCAGTGGTGCAACATGAAACTTTAGTACTTAATTTGGTAACACTTCACTTGAGGGAACACAAGTAACTTAGTATCTCAGTTACTACTCAAGTACAAATCATAAACAAATATAGTAACTGCATGAAATACATGACCCCTCATGATTTATTAATGATGACCAAACATGGGGTCAGTATGTAATTAACACTTAGTTTCAGGTTAATTAATACAATTAATAAGAGTATACTACATTATTTTTGCCCCCTCAAGTAAAGTGCTACCATTAATGCCAAATTATATTCTAATGGTTTTATTTGTATATATAATTACTTTAATATAACATTATTAATATTACATAAAATTTCAGGGGATAATTCAGTAGTCAATTCTTACACTACTCAAGTTCTAAAAATGGCCAAACTTAATTAGAAAAAACTGCATTGGACCACCCAGAGCAAGACAAAACAGGCAATGATTCATGTTCACAGAGGGGCTGCAATGTTTCCTGGCCCCCACCCAGTTCAGTGGTGTAACACCGATAACATTTAGTCGCTAAGGGTCAGACTGTTTAGGGTTAAGCAGGTATGATTTAAAGAACCTACTGAAGGAGGATTACCAGACAACATCCCTCAGAACAAGACGCTCCCCAGGACTATTCATCCCACAAACAGTTAAAGGGGCGTTGTTGGTTTTCCTAGCAGCAAGCTCAGTAAACTCCCTGACTCTGAATAATCATGCGTCACCCAGAGTAATTGAAGCAATGTGTGGTTCGTTATCAAAACACTTTGACTGTCAGCCAGAAATTTTGCAACGCCTGTTATAGTAGCATCAGCCTATCTGAGCTGAAAGAAAACAGACAAACTAATCTGAATCTGAATAACTTCTGCAAAAGTTCTGAATTAGATATTCTATTTCAAACCTACTAAAGCAGAAAATAAACTCAACACTTTATTGAATTTCCTATAGAACCATGTTATTTTTTTCTCCAATAAAAATAAAAGTATTTTCTGGTCCCACTGCATCGCCTGCCAAATGGCAGGTTATGCTGTCAGGTGTCTCAGCCCAGGCACCTTGGCTTCTCCCCAGAGCTCGCTTGACGATTCTTACCAGATTTAGATGACTGATTACGTTTCTGCATCTACTTTTCATTACATATTTTTTTTTTGCTAAGAGTGTAAGCTACTGGTATTCCTTTATCAAAAATAATAAGGCAAACAAAATTTCCAAATTCATATTCGAATGTGAATGTGAACCGTCTTTGTACCTTGTTCTGTTTGACACTATATGCATGTTCACCTGTGATGTTCTTACTGCTCTCTGCATCAGAATTTCCCACGGGGATCAATAATATTACTCGTAATCTTACAATGCGGTTTACTTGTGTTAAGTGCCACACTTAAGATATCTCAAGATACCATTCACATTATTCATAGCAGAATAGAAGCCAGATCCTTAAGGGTAACCTTGTACATGTCACAATGCAGAAATATTTTTTGAGAAAGCTAAAAATTAAAAATTAAAAATTAAATACACAATTTCCATGGTTCGAATTACGAGTGAAAGTATAAATCACATTGTTTAATGAACAGCAAAATTATAGTGCATGTAGTAACGTTAATTGATCATTTAACCAGCAATTGTACCCTAACAAGAAACACTGCTTGCAGCATTATAATTAAACACTAGAGGTACGTAAAATATTATACATACATATTGTACATATAAAAGAAACTCACTCATTAAAGCAAGTGTTTTTAATTAAAAAGATAATAATAGAGTGCAAATGAACATATATCACTTTGGTCAATAACTATGCACTTTTGAACTTAGTTCACAACAGATACAAACAAAGATAACAGATAAATAAAATTGGCTGTGTTACTAACTGTTGTACGAATGATATTCTTGTGAAGTTTGCAAAATAATATATTGGCCCACGTGGAATTTTGCGAAGCCAAACCATTCCCACAAAATCAAAGTAGAACCTTTTTTGGAACCAATTCTTCCTCATCAGCCAGGCCACAGCATAGCTACCTGTATATGGACCAAGTGTTATTTACCATATGACATGAGTGCAGTATTATAAATATGTTTTGTTGTAGTACTATTGCAGCCAGGAACATATGAACACATGGCTTCATTCATCCCCCCAATAAATAGACCTTTTTTTAAATTATTAAATTTCAAACTCTCTCCTACACTGTTGGTTGCAGTCTCTGAATGTTCAGCCATCGTGTGATAATCACCAGTTTGTTCTGTCGGTATAATGATAACATTAAGTAGTGCACTTGTAACTGGTAAGTGGAAGCTCCGCCTAGCTGCATTAATGCGTAGTCTACTCGTCAACGTCATATATGTTTGCGATGTTTTCTTTGTCTCACTTGTACGTCACTTTGGATAAAAGCAACGGGCAAATAAACATAAATGAAAATGTAGTGCTATATCGTAGTTTTCATGATAACTCTGAAATGCTTGGCATGGATAGTGGCAACCAGTCATGATTGTCAAATCATCTGATGTTGTAAATACAGAAATAGAGCGGTTTGTCAAACTTAAATCCACAGCATTCGGGTCAAGATCTTAATTCCTTTACCACTTAATCAGTGGATTTCCATTTTATTTGAACAAGGGCCCCTCTAATGAAAACAGTGCTAGGAAACCCCTAAGCTTCATCTCTCAAAGACACTGGCACAAATGTGACAATATAGCATCTTCACATTAAGATATTTCCTTACTCTAACTCTATACATGTTAAACTTACATTCTAATTCTTAATCAGTATAAGACAAACACTACAGTTGGAGATAAAAGTCAGCATTTAGATGAAAAGCAATGCAGGCCCAGAATCATCACCCAATCCAGAATTAGTTATTATAAAAAGGATGGATTGATGGATGAACAATGCCATGCGCAAACCCATCTAACACCCCATGATGAGAGGACTTGCCTCCATGTTTATACCAGAACCATTCATCATTGTCATCAATATCATTGTCTTGTTTTTGTAACAGAGAAACAAGTAGGTTCAGTGCTGTTTTGCACTGACTTTGTTGACTTAATGCGTGTCAGACACGTGGTTTTCGGTGGCCAAAGTTATCTCGGGGTCACAGAGTTTCTTTGAACCTTTCTATGAAATTTGATAATACGACCCTTGAGGTTCTACAATTAAGCGTGTAATTTGAAAACAACATCTCAGACATAGAAACGTACTATCATGACATATATAATCAAAGGAGGTTTATAGAAATTTATTCTTAAATATATTACCAAAGTTAAATAATGAACCCTTGACGATAGTGGTTATTACATAAACGAGTCAGGAAATTGCACTTTCAAGTAGCCTACATTTTCATAAATAACGATTTCCTGGATCCTAAAAACAGAGCCGTGGCATTACACATCTTTATTACGTAAAACACCAAATGCTGTGTTGACAGAAGGAAATTGCATTTATCCAACGTTTCGATGCATCATTATGGTCGGAAAACTTTAAAAGCAACACAAACTTATGGAATGTATGGACGGAACATTTAAAACCCACATGCGTCTGTTTACGGAAAACATCCCGTCGACATCCTTCGATAATGATGGAAGAACAGCCAACGGAAAGTGCCGCTTTTGTGCCTGTTATATACCCTGAGCTGTCATCCATTCATTCGTGATCGCCATCGCTCACAGCAATTGTGGACAGTGGTGGCTTGATGGTTAGGGTAGCGCACTTGTAATTGAAAGATTGCAGGTTCGAATCCCCCACCAGCAAGTCACCACTGAGGTACCCTGAGCAAGGTACCGTCCCCAAGCACTGCTCCCCGGGCGCTGAATTAGCTGCCCCCTGCTATGTCACGAAAGTCACATATGGGTCAAATGCAGAGGACACATTTCGTTGTTGCGCACTGTGTGCTGTGGTGTGTTGACAATGACCACTGATCACTAAATTCTAAATTCAATTCACATTAAAATTACGTCACGTAAGTAACAAATGACCAGCAGCTATAGATAGCAATGATGCAACACCACGTCGCAGCCTCAAAGTATACCACAGGAAATACCAACCGGATGAAACCAGTTAATAAACGTATGAAAAATGGAATGCAATGCGTTTGTAGAAGGCATATGTATTGTGCAAATTCATTAATTACATTTTGATTCTTTTGATGCATGTATTATTGATGCCCGGCACGACACCAGGAAGGAAGTTTCAGTAAGAAGCACCATCATGAGTCATAACTACACCATGCATAAATAACTATATTTAAAGGTGACCTGACAATTTCCTAGCCATCAAAAAAATTAGCGACTGTACAAGGACGCCAGCTTTTAAATCCTTAAAAACGTATGCATGTACAGGAAGGCAGGATTATAAATGCCACATTAACATCTTCCACGGGAGGAGATGCACCGTTGTCGTCAATGAAAATGAAATTAAAGAAGAAGGAGAAAGGATAGCTGTTAGTTGAATTAGCATCAAACGATAGGTTGCAATAGATTGTTAGTTTACCTATGATGATGATGAGCGTAAGGTTATCCTGCCGTAGTCCTTGCTCGCTGACCTTGCTCGTATTGGGAGCAGACCGCTTGGATCCTTTTTGAATTAGCAGGTTGCAGTGGGGAGTGACGTCACGGGGCGGGCCTCTGACCTGCCGCTGCAGGCCAATGGCGGCTCGGAGCTCAGGTCGCATAGACAAAGCCGGGGAGGAGAGCGGCGTGCTGGTGGGGCGGTGTCAAAAACCTCGCATTGCAATGTATTTTATTTTTATTTTATTTTATATAATGTGACACCCAGCTACTTAAATTATTCCAAGCAAATCAGCTGTTGTAAAAGTCCATCAACGAGAATGCAAAAATGGTTGCGCTATGTTTGCTAAACTAACATTTCCAAATTTAAAAATAAACTTTAACGAGATCATGAAAGCTGTAAGTTGCATTATACACACAAAGAGACAACTCCCGCTTTCAGAACAAATTGTCGCATCAATTTCAATACTAGTATAAGTTTCAGTTGTCTTCATGAGGTATGTTTCACGTTCATGATGCGGACACGTTTTTTGCTATGAGACTGCTAAGGCCAGCGATTCACAAAACGGTGGGTCGCGACCCAAATTTGGGTCGAGCAAAGTTCTGAAAGGGTGGCGAGGCAGAGTTGGAAATGTAAGCATTTTAAAACCAGCATGTCCCTATGCTGATCCGCGATCAGATTCCCAGCCCCAGTCTTGGAATTAACCTATATAAACGGGTCTGCAACGGTTTGCGCAGAACTAGTGAACACTCAACCAATCCAAGAAGCCAAACCACAGATGCTTAATTTAAAATTCAATGGCACATCCAATCAGATTTATGTAATAGGCATTGCTTGGCGTAAATTCACTACGTTTGATCATAGGCCTATAATTTAGACCTATACTTGATTTAGGGTTTGTGACTGAGCTGGCATTATAAAAATTGGGTCGCGGTGCAAAGAAAAAAAAACGTTGAGAACCACTTGCTTAAACTGCTGTGCCTCTTGTCTTCTAATAGCCGTCTCAGCTTAGTCGGACTTATACAATCAAACATGCCAAGGCGACTACAATGATACAACACGAGTAAGGAACTACAGCCTTGTCAGCTTGGTCATCGATCCTAGATATCCTATAAAGGGAATGACAGAGCTGTCCACTATGCATCCAAATGCTGAGTGAAAAAAGAAGCGTTATTACATATATTTAAATAAAAAACGAACTCAAACAAATACTGGAGTAGAATTTAGGGAAGTGGGCTTGGTCTGTACAGTACAACAAAAGAAACCAAGTCAGCATGGGGTCCCTATGAAGTACCTGATCAAAAGGAGGGTGTGTGACGTCCAAGGTGAAGATAAAGAAAAACAAACTATATTCTTGTGCTCTATTAACTATACATAGCTGCTTTAACAAAAGGGTTCAGAATGGTCATATATCCTTCAAAACATTTTTGAAGATGAACACCAAGGTCAGGCTTCCTCAAGCTATGTTGCATGAAACCAGATATACAAAACAATATTTCAATTTATCTGACTTGTGCCACAGCAGAGTCTGTTTTTTTTTCTTCCACAGAGCACCTACAATTAAATCACTCCAAAGAAACAGCATAATGTTGCTTAAATTTTGTTTACAGTGGAGCTGTTATCAGGCTGGAAGTAACATTTTACGGTGGCACAAATAATGTAGTAGTACACTCTTGCTTAATGTATTAATTAACCAGAAACAAACTGTTATTCACGTACTGACCCCATGTTCATTCATCATTAATTAATCACGATGGTTTGTGTATTTCGTACAGTTGCTACACTGCAAAAAATGGCCTGTGAAATTTAAGATAAATTGTTTTTGTTTTAAGGCAACATGGCCTAAACCTGGCAAAATTATCTGAAAATGCAAGAAAATTGTACTTGGTAAGATTTCCTAAAATAAGACAATATGCCTAAATGCAAACAAGTAAATCTTATCCATAAGATTGTGTTTTAGTCAGTTTATTAATGAAATTAAATATAAAGAAAGGAAATTATACTTGGATTTTAATTTTTTTTGCAGTGTATATTTGTTTATGATAGGTACTAAGTTACTTGTGCACCCTCAAGTAAAATCCTACCCTGTTCTTGATTAAAACCATAATTTATGATTATGAGAAGCCAATATTCTTTGGAATTAGTGGTTGGAAAAGGATATATTGTGTTATATTCTTACATTGAAACAGTATTTTTATAAGCACACATTCATTAAAATGTCCCCTGTTATGTTTGTATTACAGAAAAACAAACATCCAGGACAAAGGTGGGAGCAAAATCTAAGGCAGTACGTTGAGTCTGAAAAGCACAACAAAAGTAACCAAGTCAGCATGGGGTCCCTGTGAAGTCCACGCCATCAAAAAGAGGGTGTGTCACGTCCAATGTGAAGGCGAACAAAAATAAACTATATACTTGCAGTTCCATTGACTTTGCAGAGCCGTGTTTACAGTGGGTAGTTCTAATTCCATAATCATCTCAGATAGAAGTAATAAAACGGAATAAATGAAAACATTTAATAATTTGCATTTATAAAGATAAACACAAAGTACAAATTGCTACACTGCCTTTCCAAAAACCAAGACTACAAATATTTTTTCTCTCTATTTTTTAAGTTGAGTGAGAAAAACTTAATGGACACCTTTGAGGTTCCTTTGTAAAAGTAGCTTCAGTGATTCAGCTATGTCAATGGGCTGTAAGCAAAACACATGCTGCGTTTTGATAGGGCCTGGCTATTCAATGCCATGAATATTATTGTTAACACACAATGTGAACCTTGTGAACATACATTTATCAACCTTCACATATATGTTCTTATGTTCTTATGTAAAGATACACAGATGAGCCAAAGCTTATAACCATCTCCATATGACATGAATAATGTTGACTATCTAGTAAAAATGCCATGGGTCAAAGTCTGAGATATATTAGATGGTAATATAACTTTTTGTACTTGTACTTGACATGTTGAATGCATATTATTGGTGACACTGACAAGGGGGAAATCATTATACTGTATAGTCAGAAATGGCTAGTGGAGTACTCGCAGTCAGCTATGTTGAGTACCTACTTAGAATGATCCGAGGAGGGACCCCATAAACCGCAGATAGGGTTCCAATGTATGGGAGGTATTTTCTGCAAAAAATAAAATTGAAATGAAAATAATAAAAAGAAAATACAATTTCTACTTTGCTATTTAGTTTCCAAAGTCTGTGCGCAAAAATCCTGCAAAAATGAAAATTAAAATGAAATAGCACCATTTGCATTTTAATTTTCCACTCATGTATGAGTCAGATGTAAAAAAAAAAATAATAATAAAAAAAAAATATATATATATAAAGTTAAAATCGCTTTTTGTCTTTTCATTTTATAATTTTGAGTTTTCATTTCCTACTTTGCCTTTTCATTTTCAAGTTCACTACATGCAAATACGTTAATCGGAGCGGGGCAGTGGGCGGAGCTACTAATCACTGCTGCGCTTCTCAGTGTGTTTGCCGATTCCTTTCTCCTTGTGATTCTTGGCCATGGTCAACCTTGTCGCCCAAAATAATGGCAAAGTCACACGTGGCTTCATTTAGCTACTTATCTGCAGCTTCTGATTCGTTTAGCTTCTTATTCACAGCGTCTTATTTCGCGGCTTAAGTTAGCTTCTTAAGTTAGCTTCTTATAGAAGGGAATGTTTGTTTGGCACATGATGCGGTTTTTACAAGACATTTTGGAAATACAAAATAACGTATGAATAGAAGATTTGAGTTAGAACATATATTTATTTCGTATAAGAAAGTCTTCTGAAGACTTCGGAAGCTGAAAGAAACCTAAGCCGTGAAAAAACATCTGACTCATACATAAGTGGAAAATTAAAATGCAAATGTTACTATTTCACTTTCATTTTATTTTTTGCAGGATTTTTGCGCACAGACTTTGGAAACTAAATGGCAAAGTGGAGATTGTATTTTCATTTTATCATTTTCATTTTTATTTTATTTTTTGCAGAAAATACCTCCCATACCAAAGAGTCCTGTTTTTTGTTGCATCCTGTGGATGGTTGGGTACATGTTAAGTATCTGTGGAATACGTTTGACTAACATGTTTGCCCCATGGCTTTGTATGTATAGATCACCAATTATTGAGGACACAGAGACTTATCGGGTTTTATGTAACTCAGTCTTTACTGACCTGTCCATCTGTCAACAGTAGCCCTGTCATTTCCCCTGCCCTCTGCACAGGATTATGGGTACTGCATATTCTACCAGTGCACCTTCCATTTTAGCCTAGCAATACATTAAAAGAATCAATATCATTAATTTTTCTCATTTGCACACTTTTCTGTGTATTTGGAGTGTCTTCAACAGAATTTTCCGATTTTTCCAACAGATCAATAATCTTTGGTATACGAACTCAAAGCATTAATTTGTTTAAATGTTGTACATTGAAATAAGGCAAAAAATGACCTTTCTGAAAAACATACATGTAGGCATACAAACATACTTCCTCTACAGAGTTGACATCTTAACATACCCTCATATGGAAACCAGTTGAATGAATGTTGCATTTTTATATGAAATGTCTTTTCAATACACTTTACAGAACCAATGGGGAGCCACTTCAACCACCAGCATTGTGTGGCCCCCACCCGGATGATGCAACAGCAGTCATTCTGTGCCAGTATGCTCACCAGGTGGTGAAGGGACAGAAGAGAATTCACCAATTCACACTAGATCTTGTAGCTCCACTTAAGAAAATAAAGCATAGAGATAAGAAACCTGCCCCCTGGTACTCTGATCATACACGTGAACTCAAACAGGCATCA